AGGAACCACGACTGACCAGGATGGATGGTCAGTGAGTCGATGCTCCGTCAGTCGGGGGACCGTGGATCGAGTGTTGGCCGTTATTTTAGGGGAACATGGGTCTTTTATGGTTTTATTAAAATCAATGAGGTGTCATTTTTCCTAAACCTAGACCACCTATATAAGTATTCTAGACCCCTAAATTCACTCAACTATGTCATTCTCTCAATTCCAAAAAATAAAAACCAAACTATCTCTAGAATGTAGAAGATGAAGGAAGAGATTAAAGATCATCAAGATTTTGTGGGCTTTGTGAATAAGGTATGATGGATATTCATCCATGAGATCCTTTTTCCCATGGACCTCCTTTAGATTCCCCAATTGTGAAGTCTAAATCACCAATTCTAGTGAGGGTTTCTTCCAATGTTATGGATTACCATGAATGTTGATCCAATTAAGTGTATTATGATTGTTTATGATTGAATTTATATAATTACATGTTTTTATGATGAAATTTAATTTACACATGCCTATCGTATGATTTTAGGGGAGAATTGATATGTTGGGTTTGATGCCATGAGAGGGAAACTCTATGGGTTAGATTTCTCCGTATAGGATTGATGAACCATTACTAGAATTGCTTGACATTGAAGCATATATGATGAATATGATGTTAATTTCTCTATAATAAATCATAAATGATGCTCATTAGATGATACGGCTTTCAGAGAGAAGTGTGGATTATGAATTCTTTATTGTTGATCTTATGGTGTGGAAAAGATACTTTCCACAATGAAATGATAAGTATGATTGAAAGAATGTGAAAGGTTTACTCATATGAATGATTTTAGGTTAAAACGATTGCTCACCTAAAATTAATCTGGACTAAAATGCTGAATGAATAATGAGGCTAGAGGCGACTACTCTTGACCTACATATGGTAAGGTTGTGAGGTGATCTCCCATACTCCTTAAAATTGAACAAGTGGTGAACTCCCATGTTTCTATTATGATGAATGGACTTGGTGGCGAGTACCCATGATCCTTGTGAAATGATATGGAGGTGAATAGCCGTTTCATATGATATGATTGTTTAGCCGAGGACGCATGATCTTAACGTAAGTAAGACAACATACGAATACCCATAAGGCTTTGTATGTTATGCAAAGAGGTGAATCCCCATGTCTTTAAAATTAAGTATAAATGATGTGATTATGTTATGAGGAAGATTAACTTTGAATGTTGCTATATATGCTTTTCATGAAGTATGCTTGACTAGAGGCAGATAACCTAAGTATTTGGTAGGAATGAGTGAGGCTGCTTAAAGAAGTATTCCTATTTCATTATGATGATTTGTGTGCATTGATTGTGCTTATGACTTATGTGTTAAGTTGACTAATACTTATGTTTATGTTGTTTATACAAGCTATCATATTTAGTACATGTTTATACTAACGCATACTCTCGAGAACATTTCTTATCAAAGTGTAGGGTCCGACACTCTTGATTCACACACTTGTGCCTAGGTTCATAGTTGATCAAGCAAGTGAAGATTTGGTGAGTCCGCATAGAATTCCAAGTTGGGAACACCCCTTTATCTTTCATGTCTTTCCTTTAATTTTGGACTATTGTATGGGCTGCATTCCAAGATTTTATTCTCTTACGTTAGATGGTTTGAGACAATGTTGTTAGACTTCCGCTTGTTTTATGAAAGGCTCTGATTGTTTGAAATGTTTTCAATTTTCGTACCTTTTATATTTCTTTCTGTTATGATATGCTAAGTTGTGTGTATGAGGCCTCTTGGGGGCTTATACACCTTGTTACATCTAGGGGGTATCCTAGGTCATGACAAACGTGTTAATCAGAGCACAAAGTTTAGAGTTGTGCTAGGACGTCTCAACCATGTAATGTAGAGTCTTGTTCATAAGTGTGAAGCGCCCCACATTTATGAATGAGTGGCTATTAGATGTTAAGGAAATCTCACTTCTTCAATTCTCTAAGTCGTACCATGGAGTTTAACTCTATAAGGTCTTTCTCTAAATCCTTACCCAATGGCTTTCAGGATAGGACTACTAGAAGGGCTAATCCTAGAAGGATTAATGGAGAGAATGTTAATCAAGAGGTTCTTCCCCAAGCTCCTCCTCAAGCTCCGATTAATCCTTGGACTGACAATGTGACAAATACAAAGTTTTTGTCGAGTTTCCAACTATTGGCTCAAGTTGTGACGGTTCATGCCAATAGAGATGTGGTTGCTCCCGTGAACCCAAATGTGGATACGACTGTGTCAAGAGTGAGGGACTTTACTAGGATGAACCCTACGGAATTTTATGGCTGTAAGGTTTAGGAAGATCCTCATGAATTTATTGATGAGGTCTACAAGATACTTGCTATTATGGGAGTGACTCTGGTAGAGAAGGCGAAATTTTCTGCTTATGAACTCAATGGGGTTGCTCAAATTTGGTTGAATCATTGGAAAGATGCAAGGTATGTAGAAGCGGGTCCCATAAAATGGGAGAGGTCCAATATTGCATTTCTTAATCGATTCTTCCCTCTTGAGATGCGAGAGGACAAGGTGCTAGAGTTCATTATTATTAGGCAAGAAAATATGAATGTGAGGGAGTATGCCTTCAGGTTCACTCAATTGTCCAAATATTCTCCTTCTATTATGGCGGAGATAGGGCCAAGATGAGTATGTTTGTGTTGGGTGTGTCCGAAATGGTATTCAATGACTGCCGCACTGCTATGCATATCCATGACATGGACATTTCTCACCTTAGGGTGCACGTCCAACAAATAAAAGAGGAAAATCTCAAGGAAAGATCTAGGGAGGAAAAATGGATAAAGTGGATGATAGTAACTTTGCACTTTCTAGGTCTGGTGGATGGGGTCGTCCGAGGTACCGACAAAAGCTCTCCAGGAACGGTTCTACAAACTCTCCTCAGAGGCAAAGTAATGAAATATTTTCTAAACCTAAATCCCAATGAGATGGTGGTAGTCCTTTGATGCCTACTTGTGCTAAATGTTGGATAAATCATGAAGGGAAGTGTCTAGCGGGCTCTAATGATTGCTTTGGGTGTGGTAAATTAGATCATAAAATAAGGAATTACCCTTCGATTACTAGAAATGAGGGAGACATTCGTCGTAGGGCTCAACCCTACCTATCATCCATTCCAAGTGGCTAGGGTGGAAATGCTCCTAAGCAAAATTATTTCTATGCACTCCAAACTAGAGGGGATCAAGAGAGATCCCCGGATGTGGTGACGGGTATGTTAAACGTCTTTCAATATGATGTGTATTCTTTGCTTGATCCCAGTTCTACTTTGTCCTTTGTGACTCTTTTAGTGGGTATGAGATTTGATATTCTTCTTGATGTATTATAAGAACCTTTTTCTGTTTCTACCCCTATGGGTGATTTTGTGGTGTCTAAGAGAGTCTATAGGAGATTTCCCATTTCCTTATCTCATAGAGTAACTATAATAAATTTGGATGGAACATTATATGATAGATTTCAATGTTATTTTGGGCATGGATTGGTTGCATTATTCTTACGCCTCTATTAATTGTAGAACTAGAGTGGTTAAGTTTCACTTTCCAAATGAGTCTATCCTTGAGTGGCTGGGGGAAATTATATGCCTGGAGGTCAATTTGTTTCTTACCTTAAAGCTAGGAAGACGATCTCGAAGGGTTATATCTACCATATAGTGAGGGTGAGGGATGCACAGTCCGAAAACCCTAGTCTTGTGTCACTCCCAATGATAAAAGAGTTTCCAAAAGTATTCCCCGATGATATGCCATGTGTTCCTCCTGAAAGGGAAATAGACTTTGGAATTAACCTTCTCCCGGATACACAACTAATTTGTATTCCGCCTTATAGAATGTTCCGGTGGAACTTAAGGAGTTGAAGGATCAATTGAGGGATTTGTTGGATAAGGGTTTCGTTCGACCTAGTATCTCTTCCATGGGGTGCTCGGGTATTGTTTGTTACGAAGAAGGATGGTTCACTCCTTCTGTATATTGATTATCAACAGTTGAACAATGTGACAATTAAGAACAAGTATCCTCTTCCAAGAATAGATGATTTATATGTTCAACTTCAAGGGGCAAGTTATTTCTCTAAAATTGATCTCAGGTCGGGTTATCACCAATTGAGGGTGATAGAGAAAGATATTTCAAAAAACAACTTTTAGAACCCGATATGGTCATTATCAGTTTTTGGTTACGTCATTTGGTTTGACTAATTCTTTGGTGTCATTCATGGATTTGATGAATACAGTGTATAGAAAGTTCCTTGACATGTTCGTAATTGTGTTCATATATGATATTTTGATCTGTTCGAGAAGTGAGAATGATCATATTAATCATATGAGGATTGTATTGCAAATTCTCAAGGACCAAAAACTTTATGCAGTGTTTAGAAAATGTAAATTTTGGTTAAGGTCCATAGCTTTTCTAGGACATATAGTTTCGAGCAAGGGTATTGAGGTATATCCAAAGAAGACGGATGCGGTCAAGAGTTGGCCTAGACCTCTATCACCAACAGATATTAGAAGCTTCTTGGGTTTGGCCGGTTATTATAGAAAATTTATTGAGGGGTTTTTGTACGATTGCCTCTCCATTAATGGCCTTGACTCAAAAGAAGGACTAGTTTAAATGGTCGGATACTTGTGAGAAAAGTTTCCATGAATTGAAAGATAGACTTACTTCTACTCCGGTGTTAACTTTATAGGAAGGCATAGATGGTTTTGTTGTTTATTGTGACGCCTCTAGAGTTGGGGTGTGATGTGTGCTTATGCAAAATGGCAAGGTGTTTGCCTATTCTTCAAGGCAACTAAAGGTTCATGAGAATAACTATCCTGCCACGACCTTGAATTAGCAGTGGTGGTATTTGCCTTAAACATTTGGAGGCATTATTTGATGTGGTCCATCTTCATGTTTTCACCGACCATAAAAGTTTGCAACATATGTTTACCCAATAAGATCGAAATATTTGCCGAAGGAGGTGGCTGGAGTTATTGAAAGATTGTCATTTCAGGGACATCCGATAAAATTAGAATGATACAGAGAAGATTAGCATGGCCTCTATGCAAGGATGATAGACACAAATCGAGAAATGGAGTTATTGAAAGACTATGATGTGAGTGTTCTCTATCACCCCGGTAAAGCCAATATGGTGGCGGATGCCCTTAGCCAGTTATCTATGAGTATTGTTGCACATGTTGATGATGAGAGAAAAGATTTAGTTCAAGATGTTCATATGTTGGCCCGATTTGGAGTTCAACTAGTGGATTCCATCAAGGGTGGTGTATTCATCCATGATGGTTTCGAATCATCTTTTGTGGCAGATATTAAAGCAAACCAATGTCTTGATCCAACCTTAGTAAAATTGAAAGAGGCGGTGCTAAAGAAGTCCGTTGAGATTGTTTTCCAAAGAGGAGATGGTGTCCTAAGGTATCAAGGTCGTTTATATCATCTGAATGTTGATGACTTAACAAAACAAATTTTACCAAAAGCCCATAGTTCTTGGTATTCTATTCACCCAGGAGCCACCAAGATGTACCATTATTTGTAGGAGATCTACTGGTGGAATGGGATGAAGGAGGATATTACAGGATTTGCGGTAAACTGTCAAAATTGCAAACAACTGAAGGTTGAGCATAAAAAACTAGGAGGTTTATCCCAAGACATTAGCATTCCTACTTGGATGTGTGAAGATATATATATGGACTTCATAGTAGGGTTGCCGCGAACTCGGCGACAATATGATTTGATTTGGTGTATAGTTGACCGAATGATGAAGTCAACTCATTTAATTCCCGTCAAGGTTTCTTATTCGGTGGAAGACTATGACAAGTTGTATTTAACTGAGATGGTAAGTTTACATGGGATACCCTTGTCCATTATCTCCGGTAGATGTACTCAGTTTACTTATCAGATTTTGAAGTCTTTCCAAAAGGGTCTTGGCACTAATGATAAGCTTAGTACAACTTTTCATCCCCAAACTGATGGGCAAGCAGAAAGAAAAACCCAAACATTGGATGACATTTAAAGGTCTTGGGTGATTAATTTTTAGGGTAATTGGGATTACCATTTGCAATTGATTGAGTTTGCCATTAATAATAGCTACCATTTTAGCATTGGTATGGCTCCATTTGAGGCCCTTTGTTATAGGGGTTGTAGATCTCCTATAGATTGGTTTGAGGTGGGTGAGGTTGCCTTGATAGGACCCGAGTTAGTTCATGAGGTAATTAAGAAGATTCAAATCCTTAGAAAGAGGTTGAGAACGTCCCAAAGTTGGCAAAAGTCTTATGCAAATGTTAGAAGGAGAGACCTTGAACTTGATTTGCTTTATTAGGTTTACTTGAAAATCTCACCCATGAAGGGTTTAATGAGGTTTGGGAAGTAAGGGAATTTAGTCCCCGTTTTGTAGGCCCATGTAAAATTTTAAGGCGTGTTGGTAAGGTTTCATATGAGCTTGATTTGCCAAATGAGTTGGCATCGGTGCATCTGGTTTTCCAGCTCTCAATGTTGAAAAAATGTGTAGTAGATTCGACATCCATAGTTCCCCTAGAAGGGTTGGAAGTGAAAGCGAACCTTTCCTATGAAGAAGTTTCGGTTGAGATTGTAGACCGGCAAGTTAAAAAAATTTATGAACAAGGAGATCGCCTCCGTTAAGGTGTTATGGAGAAACCATCAGGTTGAGGGTTCTACGTGGGAGGCCGAAGCCGATATGATTCTCTATATGCCCATCTTTTTCCTCCTATTCTAGCTTGAAGTAATGAGTTCTTCTTTGTATGCTTTTGTTTGAAGTCGTGCATGTTTTGTGTGTTTTCATGATTTCCTTAAATTTGCATGTTCATGAAAAAGCTCAAGTTTTGAAAGAAAATAGATTTTATGATTTATTCCTCATGTTGTTGAGTATTGAGTATGGGTTACTTATAGACTTCTTGAGATGAGTTGTCGAGCATGCCTTAGCTTGGAGTGGTGATTTCCTCCTCTAATATTCACTTTCTGAATAATTTGCATTTAGGCTCCATGATATTGTGTTGAGCATTGCTTTTGAGTTTGGAGATGGCAGTTAATACTTAAGTGTCGGAAACCAAAAAATTTCATGCATATTGGGTTGTTAGATGTAGTTCCTACTCCTTTATGGTGCATTGAATGTGTGTTAAGATTAGAGTTGATGTTTCCTCCTTAGTTGTGTGCAATAGATGATATGCATGCATGAAATGTTGCTAGTCTTCAGTCCTATGTGCCTAGAATCTCGTTTGAGGATGAATGATCCCAAGGGGGAGATAATGTAATATCCTAGAATTGAAAGAGGTAAAGTAGCCATTTTTCAGAACTTCCAGGTGTCATCCACGAAGGGCCAACCACGACCCATCGTTTGAACCATGGACCATAGGTGGGTTCGTGGATGGACCCCGTAGAAAAGGTCCAGGCATGGACCACCGTGGCACATATGCACCGTAGGTGGGACAACGCCCAGTGGTCCAGTAGCCGTCGTTGGCCCAAAACTCTTTAACAAGGAACCATGACTGACCAGGATGGACCATAGGTCAGTCAACGGTCTATCGGTCGAGGGTCTGTGGATCGAGAGATGTTATTTTAGGGGAATATGGTGATGAGTTCATGATTTGGACTCATTTAGGGCTTTATTTGGATATATTTAGTGTCCTCAAATTTTTATTTTGTGCCAATAACTGATGTAAAACCCTTGATCTCCAAGTATATGGATTGAGGAACAATGTGTGGCCACTAATGGGTGAAAACGAACAAGGCAGCTAAAAGACCAAAGAAAAGAAGGCATGGTGATCGCCTAATCCATTGGGCGAGTCGCTGAATGTCTATTATCTCGCCTAAAGTTCCAGTGTGCCAAGCCATGAAGTAGAAAATCAAGTTTGTGTGAGAAAGAAGTAGTCGGTGTTTCACCAAGTGGTTCCGCGATGCATTTTTGAATCGCTTAAAGTTACAGAACTTGAGGATGCTGAAGGACAAAGAAAAATGGTGATGGAACGGACCAAAGGGTGGATCGCCAAATTGATCTGCTATCCTGACTTACTGTGCAGAATAGTACTTCGCAACATATTTTGGTAGACTATAAATACATTTTCAAACATTATGTTTAGTATCAATTTTTTATTTTGAACATTCATTAGAAAAACTTTTGAGTTTGAACTCTGAGTATTGAGACTTAGTTTCCTTAGCTTTGAAGAATTGATGTTTTCCATTTTTGAGAAATTGGAAGTGGGTCTTTCAGATTCTTCAATTTAGACCTTTGTAAAAAAGAAATATATCTTACCCAGTTGATGGAAACACAATTCAATAAAAGATTTTTATATTTTTATGATGTCTAGCAAAAAACCCCATTCTTAGGGTGGTGATTATGTGATTATGGGTTGATTTAGCTCATGGGTATTGATAATTGTTAGTTTAAATGTTGTTTAGAAGTGATTTAGTTCATTAATTGTGGTTAAATTTAAAGGATTGTAGTTGCAAATGCAGTCCTACATTCGTGTGTTTAGATTGCTCGAGAGAGAGGTTTTAAAACCAATATTATCAAATTGTTGGTCTTTGGGTATTGGGTTTTTATTGGTTCAACTCAAGAGAGTGAATCCTAAATCCTTTTCCACACATTCAGCTCGAGAAAGTGAATGGACTAAGACATAGGTTGTTGTTAATTGATTGCTTGTTGGTGTTCGAGAGAAATTGAATTTATTCGGGGTCAATTGTTCGAGAGAAAGTTTACCTCCTCTATAGTCTAGCCTATTCACTAATTTACAGCTATTTACTTACAGTTGCAATTACCTATTTGTGTATATTAGTCCATAATCGAATCATATCCCAAGATCCCGTCTCATTATTGTTATTCCTTAATTATTTGTTGCTGCTATAGTTGATAAATTGCAATAAAAAAACCCTGTTATTTGACATTCATGTCAGCCCTGATTTGAATTATGTTTTTATTCGATAACAACAATTCCTATGATTGACTTGAGCATATTCGTACTTTACTATTGATTCTCAAACACGTACCACTCCCTGTGGGATTTAGCCCCAGTTCATTTAGTTGGATTATTATACTGACTAGCGATTGTTGACACATAGAACTGGATGAAGTGTCGTAGACACGTTAATCAAAACGGCGCCGGTACCAGGGAGCGGTGTTTTTTGAATTTTTTTAGTTAAGTTGAATTTTGTTCTTGTAAGTTATAGTAGAATCTACTTATTTTTAGTTTTGGGTTGGTCTTTTCTGTTTTGAAACAGGAAGTATGAGTGAACGCAAGCAATGGTAGCCAAGTAGGCCACCAAGATGACATCGACAACCTCAATGATGTTAATGAGTCTAATGCCAATGACTCTCATCTTATGGGTGGAATTGGTGGAATTCTCTTGCCGCCTATTGAAGGGAACGATGTGTTCCATATTACTAGCACTATCATTCAACTCTTGCAATTGAAGGGACTATTTAGTGGTTTGGCTCATGAGGATCCCAATGAGCATATAAGAAATTTTGTTGATGTTTGTAGACCGTTCTCCTTCAAGAACATATCCCATGAGTCGGTCAACCTGAGATTGTTCATGTTCCCTCTGATGGGAGAAGCGTGTAAGTGGTTGGCTGAATTTCCGACTCAATCACTTCTTGGGAATAGCTTATTACCGCATTTCAAGTGCGCTTTTTCCCTCCCTCGAAAAATGATGACACTTCAGGACAACATTAAGACATTCATGTGTCTGGAAGGCGAGCCAATTCATGAGACGTTGCTGCGATTCAAGAAGTTGGTGCTGCAATACCCAATGCATGGTTTGCCTGATAACGTGTTGTTGCAGTATTTTTATCGGAGCACTGACTCGGTAAACAAGGGTGTTGCTGACCAACTTTCTCCTGGAGGTTTGATGCAACAACCTTATGTGATAGCAGCTCAGCTATTGGATGACATGACCACAATCAACCGGGCATGGTACACCCGTGAAGACTAGGTCTCTACCCTTACTTTCAAATTGACCAAGAAGAAGATGGAGAAACACAAGGAGAGGGACCAGAACATGGCCAAGATCATGACAAAACATGATATTTTCTCCAATATGTCATGGGAGCTGGAGCTGGAAGTGTAAATGTTGTG